GACCTGAGGTGAAGGATGAAGGTGCATTGTTCCACACTTTACCAGTGGGGAAGTTGGGGTGGTGCATGGAACTCCACATGGTCCTGGAATTCAGGTCCAAAGTCACAGGGATCTCCTCCAACCTCTAGAACAAACTGCTAAAAGCAAAGTAGGAAATGCTTTGAGGAATTTGCTTCCTTCAAAATATTCACCTCATCTGAGGAATCTGTCTGATGATTGATGTGTCTGTGTGAAATCCCAAGAATGCCAAAAGGATTACCCAAAGTTTTCAGATGTCAATTTTCTGTTGCTCCAAAACATGTCCATTTTTGTGTGCAGATAGATGTGTGCAAGTTGGTAGTGTACTCTACTCTGATAAATTTACTCATTATTCCTATACTATTTTTGATACTCAAGCTTCATTACTATAATAGAATATAACTGAAATAGTTGCAGCTGATTTGTTCTGTAGCAGTCTTGTCTGAGCCACATAAGCTGTTGAGAAAGATCCCCTCTGGTGTGTTTTCACTCATTAGTCTTTGCTGGTTTTTGGGGAGGGGGGGGTCTTATGAAAGAGACCTCCCTCCAAAATTGTAGTGCTGCCTGCTTAGTTATACAGCCTAGCTGCTAAGCACAAGGAGGTAATGATGAAGTGTAATGTTTGAAAGACTACACAAAAGAAGTGGAATGGTGATAGACTGAACGAATGCATTCTTAATGAGAAGAAGCTCTTCTGTTGCTTTGAAGGGATGCAGGCAAAGAAGGCATGCTCAGAAGCAGTAAAACTCTGAAAGCTGTTTTTAATGCTGTTGCAGAAAGAAGGAAGTCACTGAATTCTTATAAAATTCTCTTGTGAAATGCAAATACTGTGTTAGCATGATTGTTTTATTAAGATTTATGTTGAAAGATGAGCGATCTGGCTGCTCTGATCCCTACACAGTTAAAGGCTTTTGGGAGTGGATAAATTTTGGGTGCATAGCACAAGCCTCACAATCAAGATATGGTCTACTGACAACTGAATGTTACAAACGTCTTGTAATAAATTTTGGATAACAGAAAAATGCAAGAAGCCACCATTTAAATGTAGCACAGGTAACTCAAAAGAGTGCTATCTATGCCTTGCGTGCACTCAATAGCACAAGATTTCTTAAAGACAGTTCCCAGACATTTTGAGAAAGTGGCCTTGGCCACACTCTGCACTAGAGAAGGAGAAATAATACAGTTCTGGAGTAATACAGTAATACAGTTCTGATTCCACATCCAACAATAGTTTTCACACACATAAGAGGCATAGTCAAGGAATGTCAGTATTTTAGGAACATCAGTGTGTATCATCCAATGGTCTGCCTCCAGCTCTGACCAAATTCCAGTGCTTCATCAAAAAGAAATGAGCAATGAGACAAGAAACCAGTTGTTACTTTGCACTCAGAGTGGAGAAAAAAAAATCCTCTCCAGCCTCCATAGTGACCACTGGGATCCCAAAAGTGTGTATTTTATGCAGTGTAGACAAAGTGCCAGACAGGCACAGTTTTCAAACCTCATTGATGTTACAGTTCAGTTTGTGTTCAAGAACTCAATAAACAATCTTAACTTTCTATATCTAAGGACTCTTTTCTCATGTTTATGATCTGTTTGATCAGATCTGTCTTAAAATAATGCTGCCTCTTGGAGTTTGAAGGATCCCTTCTGAACTTCACATTTTGCATTGCTGTGTATCAAATCTTATAAATTTGAGACCACATTTACTCATGGCCCAGTTTTCAGACCTGTGATTGTGTGATGACACTACCATTTTCTTCGTTTTCTACTATTTGCATTGTCTGTGAGAAAGAATTATACTCCTCAGGCACTTTATTGCTAAGAAAAATAAGTGAAACTCAGATTTTATCTTCATGTGACAGTTACTTGTTGCTTTAAAAATCCAAGTAGCTTGTCTCATCATCAACTCTGATTTAAGCTCATCCTTTTTTTAACACAGGTGACTGTGTTAATTCTGTGCACACAATTCCAGGGGAGGGTCTCTCTGATGGTACTAACACTTCTGTAGATCTACTAAATATACTTTGTCACATCATCTGTAGAACTGCATACGTTCTTTTCACAAAGCCACCTTCCTGGCTTTTATACTTGTATTTTCCAGTCTTCAGCATTTCCATTTAATCAGTTCCATTTTACACCCAGAACTATGCACTGTTTTAAAGAGGCACCAGAAGGATTGATAATTCTATCCAGTTCATATTATCTGTGCCAACAAAATTGTCTTAGTCTTCTTAAGTGATGAGTGAGTCCTTCTTGACTGTGTTAAAATCTCCTAACCTTGGGTTGCCCAAGAATCCTATGAGTGCACACCTGATTCTTGCTCTTATGACACTAAGGAACATATTGATTGCTCCTAAAATAATTAATCCCTGAGAAACACAACCTAGCAACTTTCCTTCTCTCAAGTAACACCATCTGTAATATACCTTATTATTGCCTCTGCTTATCCAGATTCTTATCCAACTGAAGAATTTTAAATCTAATTTGTGCCATTTCCACTCAGAGTGTGAGTTTCCCATGAGGACCCACAATAAGCATTTTATATGATACCCAGATATACTAGATCTGGCACATTATCCTTGTCTAAGAAATAATGATTTCAACCAGAGGTAATCCTATTGTAATTTCTCCTGCTTTTCCTTTTCATGTGTTTTAATCACTTGTTTCAAATCTGGTTTAAATGTTCATGGTGCTGAAGTCAAGCTAGCAGTCATGGTATCACTTGACATAAATTCCCTCCCTCTTCTTGGGAATATTTGCCCAATCCATCATTGCGTATTTCTGTCATCTAGTACTATCTCCAAATAATATATATTTAAAATCTTTTCTACTTGTGCTTCCATCTGCCAGTGTCCTCAGTAGTCTGGAAAAAAGATAATATGGACCCAGCGATTCTGTCACTGAGCTGCAGATACTTGACTTCCCTTTCAAATAATGTAATTCCCATTGATTTGCCATCATTCTCCTTGGCTACTCTTTCAATATCCTTATGTACATAGACTTCCTTGAAATTAGGGAAGAGCATGTTATTCAGCAACAGATAATCTATACATCAAAAATAATGCAGACGTACCAAACTTGCCCTTCAGAGCAATGTCAGGGCTTCACTTCATTGCTTTGTTTCTTTATTGTTCCAGTAGCTAAAAAAATATGTCTTTGTTTTACTTTCCCATACAAGGTACAGTTCAAAAAAGTCTGTATCCATCATTCCTTCACTGTATGTGTTACAGTGCCTGAAAAGTTTTGCTTGATAATCCAGGCCTCCTCTCACTCTGTGAGGATTTTGTACCTATTCTTAGTATATTGCTTTCATTATTTGTTAATTTAGAGACTCTATCCCTTTCCTACAATTTCTCTCTCCTGCCCAGTGCACACAGATTATTTCCGTTCTCAATGTAAATCCATCCTTTCCTCCATTCAAATCATTAAGTTCCTGAGAGCAACCATCTTCTTTGATTGATTTTTCTAAAAGTTTGCCATATACCAAGCCTTAGTTACAGATTTATTTTTATCCATCTTGCAATCTAAGAAGCACTGAATTCATTCATAATTGCTTCCTTCTCAGGAATATCAGCTTTTTCTCAGCTGTTATACAAGGTTCTCCTCACATACATAAAACCCCATCCCAGTCTTAAAATAACCCACATGTTGTTGTTTTATGAATTTCTGTACCCAGAAAAAAGTCATCTGAAATGTCTAAGAATATCTAAACCTTGCTATTATTGATGGTATTTATGTCTCTGGCTGGAAAATTTAGGTTTCCCTTATTATTTATTTCTTTATCTATTTATAGAGATAGTTATACCCTTCCAAATCTCAGCCTGTCAGACCATATTATCCTTTTCTCCCCAAATACTGCCCAAGCTGGGTCTCTTTTACCATCTTCCTTGCAGTGGCTTTCATCCTAACAGATTATGTTTTATTCATGCCATCACATTTTAAGACGAATAAACACAATTTAGCTGTTTTACTTTTGCTACAACATCAAATTTCCTGACTTTTATGTATTTATGTTGCATCCACATGGGTCTGTATATATAATTACCTTGTTTTCTTTTTAGATTGAAAAAACCCCAAGGAAAAACCCTTTCATAAAGTGATTATAAATGTACCTATTCATATTAGGTTAACTTAATTTGGTTTGGCTTGGTTTGTATTTAGAATTATATACTAGTTATGAATAATTCTTTTCTATACCAGTAATGCTTTTTCCTAGTCACTACTCCTCCACCTGTATGAGGTAGAGGTGATATTGGAATCAGTATCATCTGAATTCAAATCAGTGTATATCAATAAGAATGTACAGAAAATGTATATGGTTCAAATAAATGAAAAAGACCAGAAATTTGAAAACTAGTAGAGATTTATGACCCATCCAAACTGGTGAAACAAAAGCATTCTGTCATGTGCAGCTCTAACCCAAATGCTAGAGTTCTGTGAGTAGAAAACTGCCCAAAAACCTTCAGCCACCATCTCTCATGGCCATCAAGTGTGCCCACAGATCACAGACAAGGAAGGAATTACAGCATAGTCCCTCAGCAAATGTGCCAAGCTCAACTCATCCTGAACATCACCACAGCCTAAGCTGCAGTTCAACACAAAGCTTGCAGATTGCTGTTCGCAGTGGTAATAAGTTCTTGCCATGCACTTGGGTATAAGCATCACCATTAAAATGCCTAGACATACTCTGAAGTGTTAAAATTAAGTCTTCCCATGACTAAACGTAGGAATTATTACTAGAAGCCTGCTTATCAACTCATTTTATTTCCTGTCTGAAGAAGATAGGGAATTTAACCATAGGTGTAAAAAAAAAATTATAGCTAAGCTATTGCTTTAATACATTTCTTCCAGTCAGTATTGCTGTGATTTAGACGAGAAGCAGCAAGGAAGATTTGAGCTGTCACACTTGACTTTCAGCTGCCACGAAGAGGCATTGGAGGTTACAGGCTAAGGTTTAATTTATATTCCTCCTTTTGTTACAGGCAGAGATGGTACGTGCTGCTTTCCAAGCGCAGAGATCTTTCTTGCTGTTAGCATCTCAATGTCAAGAGCCTCCAGAGGTAAGGAAAGTGACATGGAGTGTCAAGAGGCACTGTATGAAAAAGTCTGTGTTGCTGTATGTTATCGATCCTGCATTTGCTTTGTTTGTTCCTTTATTTATACAGTGCACTTGGGGGCTTGCTTTCACTTTTATAAGCATGGTGCTGTAATAATCAGAAAGCCATGGTCTGGAGTTAAGAACCTTTTCTGTACTGATGCATATAAGATCATTGAAGAAAGCAAAGGAGTTGTCCACTTTACATTTTTAAGTGGGATCTGTCTTTCTCTGGAAGCTGGAAGTGCCGTGGAATAGAATGGATATTTGCCAGCTCCCCAGGGATGCTATGAGGTAGACATTGAAATCAGGGTATAAGCTAGTGAGAGAAAAACCAGTATTAGCCCATGCACTCAATATTCCCCAAACTGAGGTCCAGGTTAGGCCAATTCTGGAAGGAAGGCAAAGCATTTTGTCAAGAAAATGAAAAATAAACTTTTATCAAGTTGATTTATATACTTGTTTCACTGGCAACTATTTAAATCCTCCGCTCACTAGAAAGCTCAGGGAAGCTGTGGAGTTGTTATGAATCTCATTTGTAGTTTCTAGAAGGCTGAGGGCCAATAGCACTTTATCATTCCTGGGAATAGCAGTTAGCTCTTCTGTGGGACCACCCTTGAACCTTCCTCCTTGGAATATGCAAAGAATTAAGTCTTCCCTTGCACAGTCTCATCATGGCCTTCAGTTCTGCCTTTTTCCACTAGTTCCCTGCTCCAAAGTGCATTAAAATCCATTTTTGCAAATCAGAACTCTCTGTACATGGTATAATTTATTGAAGTTTTGGTGTCACTATTTTTCTTAGAGACACAAATTAGAAGTTTTTCTAATCACTATGTTTTAATGGCAAGGGGACTCAAGGAAAAGAAAAACAAAAAGCCCATAGATATTCAGTGGTAGACTCCAGAGTTCCAAGCAAGAAGGGATCAGTTGTTTTTCCAGCTGTCCCTGATCTCTGGGAGTAAAAGTGGGTCATGGCTCACACAGAACAGGCAAAATTCCCATTGGTATAGGCCTCGAGCAGTCATTTATATTGGCTGTGAGTACAATTGCACCCAGTGGCCCACAAAATTCTACATGTTCATAGGTAAAATATTCCCCAGTGATCAGTTTCTGATGGCCCATAACGTAATGCAATGTTCTGAAGTGTTGGGATTGTCCCAGCTCTGGTACAAGAATAAGCTTTGGGTCCTGGTTTGGCCTCCTGTGCTGATAGGCTATCAGTAGGATTTTCTCTGCTTTTCCAGTGAGAATGGCAATGGCTTCCCCTACTCCTACCCTTATAACATTCTGACCTCAAGTCAGAGGTCAAGTTTGAGATTTTTCAACTATCAAGTTTAGAAATTTTCATTGAAAAATGTCAAAAAACATGCTAAAAAAACCCCAAACAACAGAGTAGAGGAAAAAAGAGATTCTCCAGCAATCTAGAATGATGGTTACAGAAGCATTAAGAAAAGCAACAAATAATAGAAGCCTTGTCATAAACATCAGCAGAGCTGGCCATCCATATCTGTATGTCTTAGTTGCACATTACCAGGCCTGCATAGATTTCTGCAGCTTGTTGAAGTACACTTTTATCATTTAACTATCCTTTAGCACAGAGGAAGTGCCACGTGATATGTGTGTACACATCATTCCAAAGTTAAAATACCAGGAATATTACAGACTCAAGTTTCTTTTTATCAGTGAGAGCAAACCCAGTCCAGTTGCGTTTTTTTGGGTTTTTTTAAAGACTGTTAGCTACACATTTTTATAGATATGAAAACACATATTGTTGTCCATATTTTTCTCTTCTTTGTGTATTTTTTTTTTTGCACAGATACACTCAATTATACTATGGACAGATTGAAAATAATTGAAGGCTGCCTATTTTATACAAATTTAATTTTTTTTTCCCCACTGCAGAGAGGTTTCAGGCATTAGATTTTTTATATCTCCATGACAATGAGGAAAAAAAATTATATTATAAACTCACATTGGTTAAGCATTTTGAAAAAGCTGGTAATCACCAGCTAACTCAGGAGAAGGAAAGAAATAGGCATCCTGGGCCTGTTCCCCCAGGACCTTATTGCTGTGATGTCATCTCGGCTCTGGTTGTATTTATAGCCTAGAGCCATGGAGTCAGTGTGGAATCCAAACAGGAAAGCTGATCATTAGTGTATCAGAATGCACAGAGAAGAGAAAAGCAAATGAAGATGACAGCATATCTATAAATGCAACAGAAAAGAGAGTAATTCTGTCATTCAGCTGTCTAGACTGTTTGCTTTATAATGTAAAGCTGTGAATGAGCCAGCGAGTTGCGATTATGGCATAGGAGCTTTGTAGACATTCAGAGACAGCGGTGTGGAGACTGAGGGGATTTACTGAGTTCCTGTCAGGTTGGGATGTCATACATGGTGCCTTTAAAAAAAAAAATAGGGAGGGGAAAATGAGCTGGAAAAATAAATTAGCTCAGCTCTTGCAGCTCACAAACTAATGAATAAGGAATTCAAACAAAAAGAAAGCTCCTATATCTATAATAAGCCTTGGATATTTTTGTGCTCAGCAAAGAGTGAAACGTATATAATCAAAAAGTGGTATTTTTTTCTCTCTGAAAAAGGTGAAGTCCTAGAATTCATTTCACTCTTTAATTCATGCTGTGAGTCACTAGCAAACATTTTCAGTGAAGATTGCTAAAAGTTGCTTTTGTAGAGTTTTGCTTGTCAATATTTTTTTTTTTTCATTTGGAATCTGTTCCAGTGCACAGGCTTTATTATCTGAATATGTGAAAATAGTAGGAGCCAGGAAGGTAATTCCAGCTGGCATACCAATCTAGCATCAACTGCAATAAATTACTTTGCAGAGAGCATGTTCTGTTACTTTTTATGGTCATGTTCTATATTTGTATGTGCAGTGGAAGAGATCACATGACAAAACCACAGTTGATATTCCTGTTTGTGTATGTCCCAGCTAATGGCTGCTAGATACAGGCTCATTCAGCAACATGGGATTTTTCAGTCCATCTACTTATTAAAAATTATTATCTGATGCAAAACTTCTAACATTCGAACAAAAAGTGTCTGTTATAAATTGTTTACTACTAGAAATAGTATAAAAGAATATATGAATTTATAAGAGAGCGCAGAGAAGATGGGAAAATAAATTAGAATATTGCTGTCATCTGTAAGAAGTTGTTTAAAAAGATATTTTGAGACCATATGTTTGCATGTTGCTTGGGCTATTCAGAGGACAGGTTTTAGCATAAACCTTCACAAAACATTCTGAAACAGTTTGGATCTGATTTTCTGTTTCCCACAGTCCAAGCCAAATACAATTCTGACTGAAATGTGATTTTTATTTCATTGCATAATAATTTTAAAAGTTATTAGTGTTCCTGAGCAAATTTATCTGTTTAACAACTTTTAAAAATTTTCAGTCATGAATATTGATCAGTGCTCAAAGTCACTGCATTAAATTCTTTGTGAATGGTGACTCATATATTGCCTTCTCTTTATGAGTTGTTATATTTCACTTTAAAAGTTCAAACAGTTTTAAGAGTTGCTTTGAGGGCTTGAGGAATCCATTGTTCCTGTGCTGAGAACAAATTAATGAGTCTATTATTTTTGTGAATCAATATAAGCATATGCAGGATGAGTGTGTTCGTGGTAAGAAGTTATACAAACAGATTTAAATGACAGATGCAGTTCAGACTATAAATGATTACGTAATTTCTCATTAGAGAAGAATGCTGAGTTCATATGACTGCCAAAGCTCATGGATTTATTCCTAACATTGTGCAGACAAACATTCCAATTAAATACCTAGCTTAAATATCCAGATCCTGCACACAGGTGGGAGGAGAGGGGTGGGAAAAAGTGAGAGGTAAAGGAGAGCTTTCCCTTTTTTTCCTAGAAAAAGGAGGCCTCACCTCACCTCACCTCACAGAAACCCAAGAAACTGTATTTGAATTTGGACTTAGAGACATGAGAACAAGTCCTTCTGGTTTTATTTTTTATAGCCAAGCAAAACCAAAAAAAACCAAACCAAAACAAAAAAAAATCTATTGTAGGATTAGAATAGTTGTGGCAAAATCTTTGAATAAAGGACTCATTCCATTTCCCCCTACTTTTCCTCATGCTTACTGAGATAACCCTCACTGTTTTTCAAAAATACAAACAGTAGGATGCTTCTCACTTTGTTAATTTATTACATTCTTATTCAAAAGAGTTTTGGCTGAGTTTTGATGTCATTCTCTCAGCTGGTTCACTTCTGCTAACCTGCTCCTCTGTGTCTAGAAATAGCTTAAGGAAGAATTTAGTTCAGTCCTTTTAAGGTCCTCAGGCCTCAAACTCGGAGAAGGTGCCATGAGTGACATGGACAGGAGCCTGAAAGTCCTGAGCTCAAAAGGGAACCCCTTCCCCCGGTCCTTTTCTCTGAAATCTTGCCAAACTGTTGGCATACTTCTGTTATCTGCAAGCCTACAACTGCATGTGACGCGTGGTTACAGCCGCAGAGATGGACCAACAGTTTCCAGTTGCTAACCCACTGCAGTGCAGAGTTCACAGGCTCATTTTTGGATATTGTTGTAAGCTCTTACTCTGTTTCACATCCAGATTGCCCCTGACAACTGTTACCTCATAATTCTGTTTCAAAATTGCTCGTCTGCGTTTTATTAGCCTCAAATGCATTATATTTTCAGTTCATATAACCATTTAGGTTGGAAAACATCTTTAAGGTCGTCAATCATAAACCCAGCACTGCCAACTCCACCACTAAACCATGTCTCTAAGCACCACATTTACATGTCTTTTAAATGTCTTCAAGGATGGTGGTTCAACCACTTTCCTGGGCAGGTTGTTTCAATACTTGACAACCCTTTCAGTGAAGAAATTTTTCCTAAACTCCAGTCTAAACCTCCTCTGTTGTATCTTGAGGCCATTTTCTTTTGTCCTGTCAGTTGTTACCTGGGTGTAGAAACTGACCCCACCT